TTTTTTAAAGTTTTTGTCACCTTTTTTTGTTAGTCTTTCTTTTCTCTTTTTACAAGATTGAGAATTAATCATACACATGAATATGAGTTTTAATGCTGACAAAGTTTTAAAGGTGAAGACAGTGGCATATGGTTTGGAACCCCTTGGATTCCTCCCCCCATTCTCTGCATGAAGCTCTTCAGTAGCTTTTAGCCAATAAAACATGCGAATTCGAGATTTGAAATCATGTTAGAGTGGACAATTTGACAGTTAAAAAAAAAAATCATTTTCCCATCCAATCAATTTTTGACAATCATGCAAGTGTCAAGCATGATGTACAAATTCAATGTACAAATGACGAAGCCTTTCAATAAAGTCTTTCAAGTGCATATTTGTAATGTAGTCCTTACATAAAGTCTACCTACTTTGTTAGGGTTAGGCAAAGACGTTGAGGTGGGTTGAAATTTAAATATTTTCCAATTAACTCATGCCATAGGATATTCTTTAGGCCACATGAGATCTAGTTTACAAGGCTAAGCTCATGAACTCACGATAAAGCTACTCAAATTCTCAAACAAGTATTTAGATCATGTTAACTTTAAGATGTCCTTCGGATTTCTGTAACTTTCTTTGCAAATAGGATTACGCTCTCTCTAGAAAATATAAAATGGTGAAAGTTTGATAGGCATGAGCAAATTATATATATCCACCAATCAAAAACTAAGAAAATATCTAATGAGTACTCTTATTGGACAAAAGCCTCAAAGATGACAACCAATGATTTCAAACAATTGAAAATTTTGTCCAAAATACACAATAAAAAATACATGATTAAGATAATATAATATCGAGACAACCAACAAACAACAATAATATAAAATACACGAGTCTCATCTTTAAGAGCTTAGTTGTTCATGCAGTTTGACTGTATGCAACTCTAACTATTATTATGCTACAGAGACAGATTTATTAATAATAGTTTTTATATATATTGCTAACAAAACGTCAACAACAAACAACAATAATCCCAACTGCAACCAACAAACAGTAGAAGAAAATTTCATGCCATTATAACACACAATTATGCCTTATGCTCATATTCTTGCCATTTTACATACATTAATCTTGTTACAGACACAAAAACTTATGAAAATAGTTAAAAATACGTTAAACGTGAACCTTTAAAAAGATGTCTAACTCGCATTTTTTTTTAAAAAAAATTCGATTATTTCATTAACATTTATTAATT